AAAATTTATTTTCATGAAAATAGAAGGGGGAGGACACCACACACCACCCTTGATTCTATGCACCTGAATGTTATGTTCACCTTATTCACCCAAGTAGGAGAGATTTTTTACTATACTGTTTAAAAAAGAGGGGATGGTTACAAGACTTTCAATGAACATTTTCAAACTAGAAATTGCTAAAATTTACTTTCAGAAAAGGGGGGGGGCAATCCCTCCCCCTTCTCCGATTCTTTGAGTCTGAATATTATATTCACTTGAGTGGAATTCGGATGCAGGTGAAATAACTTTTTAGAATTGTTTTCAATACATGTATATTTTCAGTTCAACGCAGGAAAAATAAATCCTTATGTTTACCTGGAAGGTCAATAAAATGGTTTGTCCTTAATGATAAATTGAAAACATTAATCTACTTCAATATACACTGTATTGAAATGTTTCCATATTGATTTGACAAATGTATCACTGTTTTAATGTGGATTTTTTTTTTTAAAAATATTCCTCCTATATGTATGTATCCTATTCTCAGAAGACCATGTTAACAGACTTGAATGTACACTATACTGGGATTCTTCTTTATCACTTCTTTTTGAAAGAAATTCCCACAGAACACTGGTTATAAATAAAATTGAATGCACATTATACAATTGTATATATTTCAGACATGTAGAAATTTTATGTCCTTTTTCATGTGTGCCACGTCTGCTTCACATTTGGACGTCCTATACTACTGACTATAGACGAAAAAAGACCAACTAAAAACTAAACTGTCTGACAAACGGGATGACTTCAGCTTTTTTCATCGTCAAGTTTCCTTATTTATGTAGTAATATTCCGCTATCGTTTGCATATGATGTTTACGTCTACAAACTTATTCGATACTCAAGAACACGATTAATTTTTAAATCGGGGCAGGCTACAGACAGATACATGCAAGTTGATGTTACAGGTGTTTCAACAACCTCGCTTAAAGTCAGCTTTTCGTAAATTCAATGGTCGTATCAATGGCCCTGTCAACAAATATAACCTAGTACTGGGTCAATTGTTTGGCCCTTTTTAATACTAAATTCGACAACGGTATGTCCCGTTTGAGACTCTAACACTTGGAGGGCTGCAAATTTAGACCTATACTAGGTACTCAGGGTCATTGAGCAATGAGGGATCTTCTTCATGCCAGCACCTACGAAATTGAACGTACACTATGTAATGAAGCTTTCACATAAGTCATCTCTTCTGTTCTTGAGAAGAAGATTTTGAAAGAATATTTCCTATATATTCTACGAAAAACTTTGATCAGCTATTGTAGCCCCATCCTTCCCCTGAGGGCAATGATCTGAATAAAATTGAATCTACTTTTTATACACAATGTAATGAAGCTTTCACAAGATAACATTTCCAGAAATAACGGTTCTTGCAAAGATTTTTAAAAGATGTCATTAAAGAAGAGGTTTCCATACGGCTTTTTTTGGCCTATGTATTTTTGCGAAAAATGAAATTGAATTATCCACAAATTTAAACTAATTTTCATTATTTTCAACATGTCTAATTTTGCGCTGTATATTTTTTTTTGCGAGAAAAAGATTTAAATGATATTGGAATAAACGATGAAAGTATGTTACCCTCAACCACTTTAACATTGAGTATATGGGAAAATGTTGGAGGGTTATGTTGTTTAACCTTCTAGTACACCACGTGTTGCATTGAGAACCAAAACCATATTTTGATAATTGATTACTTATATGTACAGGAACATTATGCTTGTTGTTATATGGTTGTGGTTCTCAATGCAACACGCACTAAGATACTAATGGTTTTGCTAATTTTGCAATTTGTTGAGTTGTGGTTAATTCATTCAAACATTTGGAGTGATCGATACATATTCATAACATGGTCCAATTAATCAAACAGATTAATTTTATCACTGCTCGAAAGAAAAGGGGGGGATGTTTACCCTTGTGTATCTGTCAGTCTGTCAAGCTGCGTGCCTGTCCGTAACAAATTTTCGTCGGTTTTCTCAGCAACTACTCATAATAGATGCTTGATGCTTTTAGCACACTCTTTGTTTAGGCATGCCATATGGCGGGATTCATTTTTGTATGAATCCAATGTCAACTTCTGTTTATCTGTGCGTCTGTCTTTACCAAATTTCCGTTGCAGTTTTCTCAGCAAGTACTTATTGCAGATGCTTGAAATTTTAGCACAATCTTTGTTTAGGCATGTCATATAGTGCGATTCATGAGAGCCTATCAGAGCGAGGGTATTACTAGTGAACATTGGCTTAGAGATTTCTTTTTATATAAGCATACTATGCTTTATGATGTCAGACATGAAAGAGAAATTTATAATTTTTATTATATCGTGTCCGTGTCTGTCTGTGAGGAAAACCACAGCTTTGACATTAGACGGTAGTTGCAATATGTAAAGATCAAGCTCAGACTTATTGTTTCACAGTAAACAAAATTATTGTTTAATGAAAATCTAGGTCAGTTTCTTGATTTGGGTATATTGCCGCATCACAGATTTAACGTACGTCTTTTTTCTGTTACCAAAATTGAATGCAATCATACAGTACTCGGCTCTTATCAACTTAATGTGAATTTGAGTTTCACAAGATGTTGTTGATGATGTAGTTTATACCTCGATCAGTTTAAAAGCTATTGCTCATATGACCAGTGGTCTTATCAATTCTTGAGTCAGTTGTAGTTTTGAGAAGTCCTTACCATAATCTGTTAATCTCTCCTTGGTGGTGAATTCGCGAGAAAGAAATATTTTCTGTGCATTTTACACCTGAATATTGAAGATAAATGCGCAATTCAAACGTATCTTTAGTATTGCAAAGACTTTTGTAATCTGCGACTGAAGGAGCACCTCAGATGTCAGGGGAGATTTTCTAAATGAAGACATTCTAACACTCTCTTCGTTTTTTATAAGAGTACATAGTTGATGGAGCTATTGATCGTTTTTTTTAGAGTCGGCATATAATTTAGCCAAATAAAGTAATGGTAAAAAAAAGTTGCTTCCAAATAAAACAAACAGAATCTCTAAATACAAACTAAGATAATACTGGTCTGTTGAGAGCAAGAATTCAATCATGCCACGTGTATCTTCATGAGATATCTGTAGATATATAGTATCTTTCAATGACACTTGCCATTTACCCCCAATCACTGGTTAGTATTATCAGTGCAAAGTATTAGTTCATGTACACAATTTTGGTACCTACGGTTTTAAAAAAACATTTTGAAGATACAATCCACCCGAAAATGGGCACAGACACGGATTCAAAGGATATATCTTTAGAATATAAAATATGTATATAAAATGAAGTTTGATAATAGACAAATCTTGCACCCAATTTCTATAAATAAAATATAATATAAAACAAGTGTATGGGAATTGCTATTTTTATATCTATAAATCTATATGCATTATATGTACGTAAATAATGTATTTAAGAGATTTTTTTTTACACTTTCTATGTGTCTATCTAAATCAAATACTTTGAAATCGATGTGCTTACTTATGTTGCATAGAGGTCTTTTTCTTTTCTATACTTGTAAATGCATGTAGGAGTTGCAAGCAAAGTTGTTGTTTTATATAATAATACGTCACAATGTATGATATTACTTAATATTGAAAGCTTTTTTTCATAATTGATTGTTTTCATATCTTTTTATGTTATTATAAATAGCAAATATATCGAACAAGAAAGCGTACACAATTTCCATTGAATTTTTATGGCTACAATAACAGAAGTTTTCTTTTTTTAAAAAAATATTAAATCTATTAGCCTTTTGTGTTACTTCAGCCCTGTTCTATGTTCCCTGATGATATACCGTTAATTCTTTCTTTGGTTTTTCACAATGAACAGTCTACTACATGTAATAAATCGTCAAAACCCTCTAAGACGCTTTCAGAGGGACCCTTAAGATACCCCTTGGTCACATGACTAATATACGTTGGTTTTTGCAAATAAATTATAAAATATAACAGAGGAAACATTTGGGCCAAAAACAGCTTTATGGAAACCTGTCCTTTATACTAATTCTTAACTACTACCCTTGAAAGAGGGCATAACTCTTCATTTGAACAAACTTAAATCCCCTTTGTATACGGACTTTGTGGCAAGTTTGATTAAAAATGGCCCAGTAGTTCTTGAGAAGAAGTTGAAAATGTGAAAAGTTTACAGACGGACAGAAACGACAGACTAAATGTGATCGAAAAGCTCACTTATTTTTTTCTGCTATACACTTTGTCTATCCTTCTGTTTGTCTGTATAATTGTCTCTCTCTCTCTCTCTCTCTCTCTTTCGATCGACCTTAGTAAATATTCTTCAACACAATATATCGACTACAAAATGTGCAAATGTTCACGGTACATATTGTCGCCGACGACAAAATGTGCCGATGCGTGATTGTACATTTTGTCGTCCATTACGAAGGAGGAAAAAATGGCTCGTCTCGGTACATATTGTCGCCTGTGACAATATGTACCGATGGACGACAATATGTGCAGTGAAGGTAGGTAAATATTGTCGCAGACGACAAAATTTACAAACGATAATATGTACCGTCGCATGCCCCGTATACGAAACAAGTGCCTGTGAGAAGGACTGGAGAAAGGTTATGTACATTTATAACTGGACAGTTTTATATTATTTTAGTTATATACATGTAATTTTAAAAAGTCCAAATAATGTACATTTAAACATTTTATCACACAAATTATTATTATTATTATTATTAAAGGTGCTTAAACTGTGGACAAGCATAACATTTGTCATCATACATTGGAGAGAGTAGATATATGGCCTTGGTGAGGATTTTTTTTATTTATTTATTTATTTATTTTTTTTTTTGCATTAAGTTCCATCATATCTGTATGTTATTCACATGTATGTAACGCTAGACTTATTACTGTGTTTTGTGTACACATTTGATCAGACTGAATATTTTGTAATTCTTTATATTTGATTTTCAGGGATTCTTCTCTGGTTAAAATGTTGTAATTGTCACAAAATAAACTATGTGCCCACTGCAAAAAGTCATTCCAACAATATATGGGATGTAAACTCAAAATTAGGTGCAGGTCAGTTCATAAATAAGTAATCTTTTTTTTATTAAATTGCAATTAGATTGATTTCAGCTTCTCTTTGAAACACAACAGTTCACTTTGAACTGACTAATAATACATGTATTATATATATATATATATATATATATATATATATATATATATATATATATATATATATATATATATATATATATATATATATATATATATATATATATATATATATATATATAGCCTTAGTTTAATAATTTATTAATAAACTTCAGCAATGATATTCTGTGGTATTGGGGAGAGTGTTGTCAACAATTTATTGGCTGCATTGAACCTTCCTAGCTAAACCCCAACCACCCTAAAGAGAAGGGAACGAGAGGCAGGATCTGCATTTGAAGCAGTTGCCAGTAAAACGTGTAGTGATGCAATTGCGGCTGAAAGTAGAAGGTAAAGAGAATTTATGTCAATAGTATTTTGATACCAAAGTAAGAACATGTATAATTGTAGCATCATTTGCATTCTTTTATTTTTCGTAATGAAACAAAATAATTATTTCGTTTTCTGCTTTATTTGAGAGTAAGTTATGCTTGTTTGTTTGCAGCTGTCAAAGTCAAGATGACCAGGCTGTTTCCTTTGATGCTGGCTGGTAAACCAGGGGAAGTGGTAGGAACTATGCTAGCTTATCTGGTGTGTATTTAAAATACTTAATATTTTATTGCAAATTTTACCACAATATTGATTTTATACATGTTTATGTAAATTTTAGTTATACATAGTGTTCTTATATTTTAGGTCATGGAAGTAGGATAGGTGTTAACACATGAAAAGTTTTAAGGTATGCTGTACGTTGTAAAAAATGTAGTCTAGATTTTGTAACAGGGCTGTGGAAAAAGAAAATCCAAACGAAATCGACTGTAAGAAAAAAATTGGGCAAAATCCCCCAAAGCAATGGAGTCAGATAGGACAGTGGAAATGCTCAATGAATTAAAATCATCTTTTGATGAATCAATGGAAAAATTCTCAGATTTCAACCACACAAAAAAGAATGTCACAAACAAGCTTTATTCACTCAGAAAGGGAAAAAAAGTGTAGTAATCTCGGACCAAAAGCAATTAATCAACTTACAAAATGCTTTACTTATGCTGTTAAGGGAAGTGAAGATGCTGCCAACAGGAAGAAAAACCTAGAGGCCATTCCTCGGCATGTTTTTGGTGATCATTCAAGATGTTTTGGGTGGTGATGATGAAAACACTTTCTTATTTTTTGATCCAAAAATTACAGGTTTAGGTAAGTATTTTATGAAAACAATACAAACAAACTATTACTCTGCAGTACATTCTCATTACATTGTATCACTTTCACTTTAGGATATTATTTTAGATCATGTACTCCATTTCATTACAATAAATACTGATATTGTGTTCATGATAGGTACCTCATCAGAGATTGTGCAGCTAGCCTGTGTTTCTGGTGACGACGCCTTAACAGATATGTCCTACCAAGCTGTGTCATCACAACATCTGCAACAGCAGTAACAGGCCTTCATGTTGTAGGAGAACTTTTTTGCCACAAAGAAAAGGCACAGAGTGTTGGAATGGAGACTTGCCTTAATGAATATAAATTGTGGTTGAGCAAATATCATAGACCAGTTCTTGTGTGCCACAATGGAAGGTATTTGATTCTGTGATATTAAAACATTATCAAATCACCCAGCATGTGAATCATTGCCCATTGAGGGTTTTGTAGATACTCTACATGCATTTAGAGAAGTTCTGCCAAAGAGGGACACATACAGACTAGAATCACTGGTGCTAGATACAATGTCTGGGTCATACAAAGCGCATTCAACTGTTGAAGAAGTTAAGATTTTGCAATCATTGATAAAGCATCATGACTTATTGTCTGACGTCTTGTTGGTCAAGTCGTTCAATAGAATTCTTGTGATAACTTGATCTTGGAAACTTCATACTATCTTAACTATCAATTGGAGAGCAAACGTGCTAAACACCCAAACAATCCAGAGCATTGCCACTGATGTCATTATTATCACATTATACATTAGAGGTTCCATAACATTTGGCCAATCTCGAATGCATCATTCATTCCAGCAAAACAGAAGGAATGAAGCTGGTCAAGTCAACACTTGTTGATTATCTTTATCAGATTAACTAATGGATATTTATTTTCAATGCATACCAAGTCTACCTTCAGAATTTTTATAAATCTACGCATACTCATAACTTGCAGACGTTTAATTTATTCATAGTTTAAAAAAAATATCAAAGTGAAGGAAAGATGTTGAATATTCTTTTGCTTAAGGACAGATGATACAAACAAACCTTTATCCCAAAATTTGAAAATAACAAGTTGAGTCCTGTTTAGATGCGTAAAATGAACAAGTTTATCTTTACAAGTGAAAATATATTGCGTAAGGTAAACACTGTGTGATTATACACTTTCCATTTAGTGACCACGACTTGATAACATTAAAATTGCAAACAGATAATACCCAAAGAGGCCCAGGGCTATGGACAGTGAATGAAAAAACTATAAGAAATGAAGGTATCCGAAAAACTTGTTGATTTTGGGGAAAAATACAAGAGGATTTTAGACAATTGTCAGGATATTACCTAATGGTGGGACTTAACAAAACATAAAATGAAAATATTGTGTATTGAGATGTCAAAAAAATTAAATGTTAATAAATAGAAACTTTCAAAATTAGAAAAGATTAAAAAAAACAATCCTTCATATGACAAAAAGTATCAAAACGACCTTGAGCAAAAAATCAAAGACATTTGTACGGATAAGACAGAAGCTGCAATTATAAGATCTAAATGTAGGTGGTTTAAAGAAGGAAAGCACCTTCTAAATATTTCTTCCAATTAGAAAAAAATAATGGAGAAAAAAATGTGGACTAGAATTAAAGCAGAAAATGGCACATATAAAACTGACATTGACTCAATAATTGAAGAGCAAATAAATTTTCATTACAAATTACTAAAAACGGAAGGTAGGGATAGAGAAATTGGAAATTTATTATCAGACAGTACAATGAAAATTAGATAAGGGTGACGTAAACATGCTTGACAGAAATATAACTGATAAAGCAGTTATGCCATTAAAACCAAATAAATCACCTGGGGAAGATGGAATATTGTCAACCTTTTATCAATTATACTGGGATACAATTAAAATTGAATTTTCAAAAGTAATAAAACTTATTTTTTATAAGGCCATACTCTCTGACTCGCAAACTAAAGGAGTTATTTCATTAATCATAAAGGGAATGAAAGAGAAGATGTAAAAAATGGGAGACTTTTAACTATGCTTAACAATGATTATAAAATTATTGCTAAGATACTCTCTGAGAGGTTAAAGGTTGTGTTGCCAAAATTAATTCACCCAGATCAAAAAGAGTTTGTTAAGGGTGGAAATATTAGTGATGCAAATAGACTAATTCAAGACATAATCGATTATGCAGAAAAAGAATATTTAGAAGGGGCTATAATATTCCTAGATAACAGAAAGCCCTTGATAGAATAGAATGGGGACAGATAGAAGCCACATTTCAACGATTTAACTTTGGCGAAAATATTGTAAATGGATAAAAATGCTTCTAATAAAATCAAAAACAAATGGATTTGTATCAAAATACATTTCATTATCAAGATCAGCAAGAAAGGTTGTCCTATAGCTCCCCTATTTTACGTGCTTCAGATAGAGCCTATGGCTAGTGCAATCAGACAAAATCTTCAGATAAAGGGTATCTCAATTCCTTGCAAAGATCAACATATAGGGTGTAAAATAAATATGTTTGCCGATATGATGAATTTATAATAAACTCCTTTAATGTTAAGAGCCTCAGGGGCAAAAACCAACTTTTTAAAAACAAAGGGGTTGTAAATTGGAAAATCAAAGGGTAAAACACCAAATTTAAAAAAAAAAATACAATGGATAAAAACTTACATAAAAACTTTGGGGGAACATCATGGAAATGGTATTGATACTTGTGCAATATGGTTGGAAAAAATATTTTAAAAAATCATTAACAGTTTGCATGTCTGGAAAACTAGAAACTTACATTTAAAGGGAAAACTTTGATAATAAAGAATTTAATAATTCCAATTATTGGGTACGAAATTGAAATGAAAGGGATACAGGATATTTATGCCAAACAAATAAATGACATTATGTGGTCTTTTATTTGGGATAATAAGTGGATTGAATGAAAAAGACAAAAATGTGTGCTGCTTAAGCAAGAATGAAGGAGGAATGAATATGATAAATACACTTGTATATTTAATTTTATAAAAAGTAAACAAGTAATTTTTTTTTAAATAAAATTATGCATTCAAAGTTAGAAACATGGAATGCCATTGGTAAATACTGGTTACAGAGTAAAGATATTCATCCAAGTCAAGAATATTACATTCACCGTCGGATTTATCTCAAATTTCCTTAAATAACATGTCTAGTTTTTATAAACAAGCGCTATCGCATATAGCGAATTTGAGTCAGTCAAAATTTGAGCCTGAGAGAGTCGAGAAGAAATATTCAATCTCTCTCTGTTTGGTAATAAACTTATACAATTTCATGGGAAAGCCCTATACATGTATGTTGAATCATTTATTAAAAGTGTTTGTTTTTTTTTTTTTAAATTAAAGACATTTGGAATGATGAGAAAAACTGCTTTAAATATAATAATGACACTATTTTTAATGAATTACTAGTATTAGACAAAAGATGCTGCATATTTGATTATAGTAAAATAAAAGCAGTAGTAACATACAGTGGAATTTAGTTTGGGACAGTATTTCAAGAGTAAAAGTAAAATATAAAATTCAAGAATTCCAAATGGAAATATGTTCATAATATATTGTATACTGGAGATAAATAATGTAAAACTGGACTGTCCAATGGTTTATGCAACTTGTGTAAAAACCATAGGAAAAAATCAACAACACCTCTTTTTCCATTGCACATAAACCAACACTTAAGAAAGTAGAAGACATAATTGAAAAAGTGCTACAACTGAAGGGTATTTTATCAATTGATCAGCAAACAGTAACATTAGGGTACTTGGAGGAACCGCAAATTCCAAGAACTCTGGTTAATACCTTAATATATATCTATAAAATTAATGGGTTCGTATGGAAAATAAGAAATAAAGTTAAATACACTGTATGAAAATCTAAAAGTAAATGACTCAAGTATTAAAATTGCCTTTAAAAATGAAATGAAATCTAATTTCCTATTACAATCACGATTTTACAAAGGATGAGTGCACTTAAGCTATGGGAGTTGGGTCCCGGTGTTTTGCGCAAATTTTCAACGACATTGTTTACATCGAGCCGCAACTTGTCCATTGGTCTCATTTGCACAGAATGTGTATTTTAATTTAAACTTCAACATATCCAAAGGACAATGTTGGACAAATTGCGGCTCATATCTAATTTTTTGAAAAAGTCTCCAAACTACGGTCGAATTAGCCACTAAATTAACAGTTCACCGAGTGTCAACGATTGATATTATAATCACTTTACTCACGTGACATTCCACTGATCAATACGCTAAGGCTTTCATTGAACATTTCATTGTGTTTGTCATTGAAAGTTTCTATTGTGACAGTATCTACCGTACTTCCAACTCCAAACTATGGAAGATTTTTGCGCAAATTTTAATAGGG